AGGAGCCCGGGATGACTGGGGTTTGAGGTGTGAACGACAGGCGGGGTGGAGAGGGCTGAGGGAGAACGGGTTTAGGGGCGCCACTCTGAGGGCCGAGCTTAGATGGAGTGAGCGGGCAGCTGATGGCAACGTCCCAGCTTTGTAGCCCCACCCGCTCCTGGAACCTGTTGTTGCCTCGTCTCTCCTCCTTCCCGCGTTCTCTCCTGTCCCTTAGAATGGTCCCTTCCCCACTCGGGCCCTTTGCCACTCCCTCTCTCCTCCCGTGAGGCTCTTTGCTCTGTTCAGTCCTACCATCAGCTGCTCTGTGGCAGGCCCTTTGCTGGGCAGTGGGGTCCAGCGGTATTTCGGTTTGCTTGGGGAACGGCAGGAAGTCTCAGTCCACAGTGCTCTGAGCTATGCAGAGGCAACATTTGTCTTCGGGCCCCGAGAGAGGAAGCTGGGGGCTCAGGGGAGACTCACAGTGTTGGTGACAAGGAGAATCTAAACTGATATGACTTGAAGTAACCGGTGTTCTAGGCGCCATGCTGGGGGTTCTGACCGGAACGAGGCCCTGACCCTGTTTTCGAGGCGCTCACAGCTTGAAGCCGCCCTGGCTCGGGGCGCACATGTGCAGCAAGGGGAGTAGCGCGTGGCACTGTGGGAGCCCGGGGTGGCGGGTCGGCCCACAGGCGTCGAGCCAGAGCTGAGTGTCCGAGGCTGCAGAGGAGTTAGGTGGCCGAGGAAAAGGAGGCTTCATCCACCACACACCTCCCAAGGCCGGGTCCCTTGCTGGGCCCTGCCGGTGATGCCGAGAGGTGTCAGACCCTGCCTTCGAGGAGTCCCCATCTGCTGAGAGTCAGACACAGGCACCGATGATCCCCGGCTTTGACAGGCCTCACCCAGCAGGTGACATTTGCTGAACGATCTGACGGAGGGGAGAGAGGAAGCTGTAGAGGCATCTGGGGAAGGGCGTTTTGCAGGACAGAGGGAACGGCCTGTGCAAAGGTCCTGAGGCAGGACTGGGCTGCGTGTGTTTAGGCAACAGCGGGCAGGCAAGTGGCTGGAGCCAAGTAGTGAGCAGCGGGGAGAGGGTGGGAGGCGACATCCAGAGGTCTTGTGGGCCACGACAGAGACTTAGCTTTATCTCAGCATGAGACAGGACCCAGGAAAACACCAAGCAGAAGAGGGACCGGGCCGGGAGCCGGGTGGGGGCTGAGCAGCCGTGGGACTCGGGTCTGTTGGAAGGCAGGCGGGATGTGCAGGTGCAGCGAGCCTGAGGTCTGAGTCGGAGACAGAAGTTGCAGTGACTCCACCGTTTACTGATTTGGGGGAGGCCATGGGGGTGCAGGAGCAGGTTTGGGGGGAGATCAGGAGCCCGGCTTTGGCATTTGAGGTGCCTCAAGAGGCATCCTCACACAGGGGCAGCCGGAGCCGGCAACCCACAGCCCAGAGAGAGGTCTGGGCCAGAGACGCAGAGGCAGGCACGATCAGCATAGAGATGGCGTTCGGAGCCGCGAGACTGGCCGAGGGAGTGAAGGTCACAGAGCAGCCTGTGCCTGGCCCAGAGCGGGCACTCACCGTCACGTGACTGCCGCAGGTGCTGGCCGGTGTCTGCCATGAAGGGTGGAGACGGGGAGAGGGCACCACGTGTGCCAGGACCGCTGAGGGGGGACCCACGGGGGCCTCCTTCCTTCTGATGCTGCCTCGGCCGCCTGCATTGAGGACGGTGCCCGGGGTGGGCACCTAGCGAAGGAACCTAGATTTCGCTCCCGGTGACACCTTCCCTCCCGCCTCTCCCCGCTGGCCACAGCCCGTTGGCCCCACCGGGCCTCCCTCTGCTGGGGCCGGTCTGACTTCACCTCTGGGCTCCTGTGAGCCCCTCAGCTTCTTAGGCCCCACGTTGTTAGATACATTTTTTTTTTTTCATGCAAACGATAACACGAAGCACAGCGTTCTGCACCTCAGAGCCATTCGTATCAGTACGTAGGGCCCTTCCTCGTTCCTTCATGCCATGAGCGGAATCAGTGCGATTTATTTAAACAGTCCCCATGGGAGGGCATCGAGGAGGTTTCCAGCCTTTTGCGATCGCAGACAACGCCGCCGGAAACCACCTTGCGAGGGCGGCTTTTCATCGCGTGCGGCACGTCTGAGGCGGGAACCCCTGGATGCGGGACCGCAGCCTCCCCGCTTCTGTGTCTTAACTGACGTCGAGTTCGTGTGGAGTGAAGCGCACAGCCCCGGGTGCACAGCACGTTTCCGTCCGCCCAGAAGCTTCCCCCGCACCCGTCGCTTAGCCGTTCCCACCCCTCCCCCAGTGTGGACTCCGACCTCTCACCCACGTTTGGGGTGCGTGCACTCGGGAGGGGGGAGGGGAAGGGGCTGGAGGCCCCGCTTCCTTTTGAGGCCGTCCTGGAAGTCGCACACCGTACGGTCACCCCGGTTCCGTGCGGGATCCCAGTGCTCTGACCACCTCCAGCGGTGTACTCTGGGAATTGTGGTCCGGAGCTGGGCTGCCTGGGGCGGCTCCAAGCCCCAGCAGGGGTCTGTCGCAAGAAAGGGCAAAGGAGAGACCAGATGTGGGGCGATAGTTACGGGGTACAGAGGTGTCCCCCTGGACCGGGGACAGCCGACCTGTCCCCTCTGCATCCTCCCTCCCGGCTGGGTCTGGGGTCTGTTCCAGGTCCCCACAACCCCCTGTCCCAGCCCGATGCTGGGAGACCCGTGCCATTTTAAAATTCCTTTTCCTTTT